GACATACATGCAGGCAAAACATCCATGTTTATAAAATAAAAAGAAATAAATCATTTTAAAAAACTAAAATAAAAAAAATGAATGAACAAACAGTTGTGACTATTCAGTGTTAACCTCAATCACTAATTGAACAAAAAAGCAAAGGCCCCACCTAATCACTCCTAATGTGGTGAAAAAGAGGACTTCTTGTCTTTGTCCTAGTAAATCAGGTGATTTCAAACAGACATCAAATATAGCGCACAATCAAACATTTATTGAAGAATTCATTTTATATTTTAACCATTTGGACAATTGATTAAAATAGTCAGATGCTGAATGGCTTTGTTATTCAAATTATGTTTATATTTTTACCAAACATGACTTCATAATTTATACTTCTGTATTTTTTAAGGGATAGAGAACCGAAGTTACATTAATTAAAAAAAGATAGAGGAAAGGGATCTTACTGTTAACAAAGAACAGTTCAAACAATTACCCTTAAAATATAGACAATTCAAAGTTGTAATTGTGACTAACTCGATGTTAGCAAGAGCAAAAGAGAAGACTAGAGACATCAAGACAGTTACTATTCAGTGATGACAGTGACATCATTGAATAGATTTATAGATGGATTTATAGAAAATCATGTCTCACCTATGAGAGCTTTTACTTCATTCATCAAGTCTTGAAAATTAACCTTCCCATCACCTATAAGAACAGATATTAGGACACAAACATTGTCAAAGAGAAAAAAATATGCAAATAAAATTTACTTGACCCAAGCAAATTCTCCCTATTACATTCTGAAAATCACCCTTCAATTATAATGGTCAGCTCTAGGAAGCCATGACATATCAGTCAAAGGTACCTGTCCCCACTTCTTAACTAAGAGGTGATTTTAAGGATGTTAACTTTATAACAATGTTTTCTGTGGTTTTCTACTTATGTATTATGTTCTAAAATTAAAGTACCAATTAGGAAGAATACATGGACGAAAATGCCAATTAAAGGAAAAATATTTTTAGAGAAAATTTAGTTTGTAAGGTTTACAAAAAGTGTGAAGATTCAGATGGATGATAAAAGATGAACCATGTACGTGCTAAACATAGTGCTGTGCATAAGACCCATGCAAGCCCCAAACTGGACCAAATCCACTGTGGCAACGTGAAGGCAGGGAGTGTTAAAAGCTATCAAAAGGACATTTGATGATAATAAGATTATTTAAATGGAAAAGATAACCAATCTGAATCTGGATGTACTTAATACAGTTTCATATCTGTAAAGCAAACATCAACAAAACATCACAGCTTTAGACTAACCCACAGTCTAATGCCAGCTAGCTGTTCTTTCATTTGAGAGCCCACCCTAGGGGACACTGCTCTGCCAAGGACTCTTTTTTGGGGGACTCCAGCTGCTGCTTTCATGGGACTTCCTCAGTCCATTTCTGCCTTCATGCTGTAAGCCCTGCTTTGATGATGTTACTTTCTGCTCATTTGTTCTTTCATGGGAGAGGATGCTCCCCCATCCCTGGAACTCTATTGGGATCTCCAGCTGACTGCCTTAGGGCTTCGTCAGTTGGTTTCTGCTGGATGCTCTGAGCACCTTATTTGATGTCTGTCTGTCTCTTCTTTTACTTTAGATTGTAATATACCCAATGAATTCTAATAATTTGACCCCAAGCTGAAATTTGCATTTGGAAATTAAAAATAACAATCTTAGGAAAACTCAGCAAGGTACAAAAGGAGAGTTCAATGAACTAGTGTGCAAGTGATGCACTGCACAAGCAGAGTAGTTAACTACAGAGCTCACCATTATCTGGTAGGTTTTCTTTTAATTGATCCAGCTCCTTTTCTTCGAGTTTGATTCCCATGGTTTCCAGAAGAGTGTTTATTTTATTTGTTTTAACCTTTCCTCCTTAGAAAAAGAGGTATAAAGAATGAGAAAATATATTAAAATGAAAGATGCTTTAAGTATTAGAAATGTTAGCTGTGTTACATTAAAATACACAGTAAAGAAAACAATGCATTTCTAGATACTAATACTGTTTTAAAATATGATTAAATACCATTAAAACTCTGTATTAAATAACAGCACTGGTAAAACTCCAAATTATAACAGAAGAAAATGAATAAAGTGCAAAGCAGAGGGACTTTGAAACAGGGCTAGTTGCTTCCACAGAGACTTTGGAATTTCAATAGACCTGGTTTATCCATGTCTGAAGATAGTTTTTGAGTATACATTATGAAAAAGAGGGGGGAGCTCTTATTGGTTTAAAAATACATACCTGTCTCTATAAACTACCTGAGATGATATCAGAGACATGAGTAGAATTTTCTGAAGCTGAACATGAATTGGGGATGGTAGTGTGTGGAGAAGAAAATGATTTTAAAATTGTAAAGCAGGGGCCAAAAGATTAGAGAAGTTTGTTAACATGGGGTCCATGGGATGAAAGACCCACCAGGGAGAGTTACCTGTGAGGCTCCTGGAAATCAGTGCTTCATTTTTTTAATGGTGACATTCAACTCACTTAATGGTAACATTCTTCAAGGAAGATTTTGGCTGTCTTCTTCCAAAAGGTTTAGGAATGCCAGGAAGCACCCTTTCTACCACTGGAGAATTCCTCTTAACAGGTATCAAATGTAGAGCGAGCTTCTAGCTCTTTAATCATTCCCCAAATTCTTCCTCTTTTTTGAAGTAATTAGTGGAGAAAACCTGAGCTATAATCTTATGTGTTTGTCTACAGTTTTTCTTAGCTAGACGTCACTAAAAAACGTTCTAGTTAAAGAAATAATAATGAAATAATGGACTTTGTTCTACCAGCTCACCAGGCAGAGGCACCTGCCACCAAGTCTGATGACTTGAGTTTGACCCCTAGGACCCACACAGTAGGAGGAGAGAACCAACTCCCACAAGTTGTCCACTGACCTCGTCATGTGCACCACGCACGCGCACAGGTGCTCACACACACAAAATAAGTTCTTGCAAGAGGAAAATAATGCTTAATATTTCTGACAGTGAATGTGATTAATTTGGGGTCGCCTGTACTTCCTTAGCTAATTCCAGGGTCATTCTTGTCATCATCACACTTTATAGATCTATCTAGAATTCAAATGGCAATTTGACAGTTTATTTTGCAAAATTTAAGAGATTGTGAGACCTTTTACAATGACAAAAACAAGTCATAGAGGTAAAAACATTTATAACGAAGAAGGTAAATTCAGAAAGAAGGGTATGATATCTCTAAAAACACAACTTAAATATCAATTTTCAAATTGCTTGTTACTCACCTTCGAAAGACTTTACCTCATTCAACAATCTGTTTTTATAGATCTTTCCAGAGTCTATAATGAAAAACATACTTAATGTCAAGCAAAATGTGATACAGATACTCATCAAAACACATATTTCTTTCTTTCTCCTTATTGTAGTCAATTTTATTAGGTTTTTCTTTTGAGGTATGGTCACTGTAGCATAGGCTGGTCTTGAACTTCTTGCACCTCCTGAGTGCTAATATTAGAGACTTGTGCAAACACACTCAGCCACACACATTTCTCTCTTTCAGGAAGAATTTTTACTATTTATTGAATAAATATGTTTTTATGCCCCCAATAAAACCAGAAGAATTTAAAAAATGAGAACTATCAGTCTGACAGACTATACAATTTAAACACCTGAGATAATTTTTATTTTAGAATTCCATACATGAACACAATGTATTTTTATCACAGCCATCTGCCTTGTACCCCTTCCTGTGTCTTTATCTTAAATTCATGTCCTCTTCCTCTACAGTTATTATTGTTATAGATATCGCAGTCTATATCTTACTGAATCTCATCAGTGTTTGCACATATGTGTGGGCCTATGGTTGACCACTTCAGCATGGGCAACCTATCAGCAGGCCTGACCCGACTTTTCCATCTTCAGCAACATCCACTTCCTGTAGCTCACAAACTCTCTGTAGAATAACTGTCTGCGCCTAAGAAGATTTTAATAGGCTCAACTATGCTGATGCTCATTTCTTTCTTTCATTTTCCTTCCTTCACCTGATTCTAAAAATTGATTACATCAGCAGCTTCCTTTTATTTTCCTTCTTAGGCTAGTGTTGCACGTGGCTGGAGGGGCTGACAGTCCAGTGCCTGCTTATGCCCCGATGTTCTGGATTAAAAGGGAGAGGGTCTTTCTAAGCACAACATAAACTTTATTCATAAAATGTTTAAGATACTATGTACTAAAAGAAGGAACCTCCCCACAGTCCTATCAAACTAAGCTCCTGTCTGCACAACGTACCGTCAACAGGCAGGTCACTCATCAGCTTCATCCGTTCTTTATCTGTCAGCTCGAGGCCCATTTTGTTTATCATAGCAGGAAGAAATCTCATGTCCAACTTTGATCCTTTGAAAAATATAAAATATTATCATCCTAAACATTATAATTATTTCAAGAAGCAATGTAATGTTAAAGAAGGGTTTTTAAACCTAAGAGAAAAATTAAAACACTAAAATATATGTATACAGAATCAAGAGGGTCACGTCATATTTACTGCTTACATAGAAATGTTGGGATATATTTTTTGATATGAGGATGAGTCAAAGGAGAAGGGAATAAATTTCATTTGTATGACTCCTAATTAAGATATCAGAATCAGTTCATTTGTGCGTCTTAACCAGAAAGTACTGTATATTGTCTTTTTTCTGATTTTTTTTCTAAAATATGTTATTTGTTCTTGACGTAGATAATAACAAAGTATTTTTTGGTTGTTACTTGATATAGTCTGGTTTGGGTGTTTATTAATAATGCTCCAGGAAGTGATACTGCCAAAATAAATGCCTTAGAGAGCTCAGAAGTTACGTTTTACACATTTGACCAGCATAAGGACAAACTGTAGGACAAAAACACACACTTATTAAGAAAATATTAAAAATTAAAACAAAAAAGATAAGGAATAGAATAGCAGAAAAATCTGTTTGAAACTATACTACTGCATAGTCTGAGGGGTTTGTTAGTATACAAGTTCTCACTCACCTGTAAATGCGTCTAACCCCTTCAACAAGTTTTTCATTGAAACTCTTCCATGTACTGTAAGAAGAAATTCAAATAAAGAAATGTATCATAGCAAGAAGAAAAGATTCTAGCAGCACATTTGAGAATTTCTGAAGCTTTATCTTTTTCATGAGAATGAGTCAGAATAAAGAAACAAAATGCTAAAAACTCAACAATTTCAACAATGCTACTGTTATTCAGTTCTACTCAAACCTTCCACAATCAAGGGTAAGACTCAGGTGCATTTACGTTAAATAACTTTTATTTAGATCAGATCACTAAAACAGGATTTAGAGCTGTTATATACTACACTTAATGATGTTTCAATTTGGAGTTTACTAACCATTTGCTCGTGTTATAAGTTCTCAACCAGTATTTACCTATTTTTCTGGGCAGACTTGCTAATTCCTTTGTAGTGTGAGTGCTAACTACGAGGTGTTTCTGGGTTGGAGGATTACACTTACTGTTCCATTACTATCTGCACAATAAAAAGTGACACCTCTGAGCAGATGGTATTTAAGGTATTTACCCTAAGGTGTCAAAACTAATGTAGTCAGAATAATATTAGAGAGTGGCCTTCAGGGGAAGAGACAGAGAGAGAAACAGAGGGAGGGAGGGACAGAGGGAAGGAGAAAGCACAAGAGAGAATTATTGCTAGTACTAAATACAATGTCAATAGCAGCTCATTCTATGGTAGTAATGTAAGTCATGTAAGAGGAACCTTGTATCTCTAATAAACATTTGGAAATGCTTCATAAATAGCACATCAGCAGTAATCAATACCCAGGAAGAACATCACCATCACTAAATTAGTGAGACTCAGCAGGATACGGACACATATTTATACAAGATTACTATAAATGTTAATAACTAAATGGAAAAAATTCCATTAAGATTTCTGATGAAGATATTAATTTCAACTTATTCTTATCTTGTAAAAGTAAATAGGTGCATACCCCATATGACCCAGGTATTCTAGAGTATATACTTCTACTTCTAGGTATATATCTAAAGAATTCTTGGACATGTGCATCACGAGGCACACTTTGGGAAGGAATCATTGTAATGGTGAGAACTAGAAACAATGAAAATATCCACTAAGTAGGAAAATTATAAATAGAATGTGGTATATTCATGAATTAAAATATTTCATAGCAACAAGGAAGTATTACTTTTGTGGTATTTTTAGGAATTTGGGGGAATTCAATATTGAGGAAGTAAGTTCCAGAAAATCTGTGAGACATTGTAAGATAACATTTTAATAAAACTTACAAACAGGTAAATTCATATTTATTTTGAAATATTGTTTAGGAACACACACCCACACCCACACATTTATCTGAAACAAGTGCTTTTAAAACAAGGAGACGCCGGGCGGTGGTGGCGCACGCCTTTAATCCCAGCACTTGGGAGGCAGAGCCAGGCGGATCTCTGTGAGTTCGAGGCCAGCCTGGGCTACCAAGTGAGTTCCAGGAGAGGCGCAAAGCTACACAGAGAAACCCTGTCTCGAAAAACCAAAAAAAAAAAAAAAAAAAAAAAAAAAAAAAAAAAAAAAATAAAACAAGGAGACTACAAACATAAAATTTAGCATAGCAGTTGACCAGCAAAGGTGTGAGATGGAGGAAGAGCCCATATGAACACAAGAATCACTGTTTATTTGTAGTGCTTAAGTTACACTAAGGAATCACAGCTTTTCATTTCCAAATACTTTATAATATGTATTATATAAAGCATAATTTTACATTCCCAAACATCATATTTAAAACTATGTATTCAGTATCAGCTGCATTCAAATCATGCACGGTTTCCTTTGCATAACTCTTGCCAATCATTGGTAGAACAGTTGGCCAGTACTTCAATGTGCATGGCCAAAATCAGTTGGCAAGAGTATGACATTGTCAGTTACATGTATTTCAGTGACTTTTTATGCTGCTCCATACCTAACATGTCTTTTATTGTCTCACTTTTTATATCTTATGAAAATTGGATGATTTGAACAAAGTGAAAAGAAATACATTTAGATAAATCCAGAATTGTAATTATTTTTCAACTGAATTTTTGCAGTTTAAGCACTTCCTACTATTTAACAAGTAGTAAGCATATCTGAATACACAAGTAATACTGTTAGAAGTAAATGAGTACATTTATAGGAATATATCTGAAAATAATATATATCCTACTGAAGGGCACAGCCATCAGTGGCAATAATAAAATGACATGGCATGTGATCAAAATGAATACTTTTAGCCAAGAGTTTTCCCCAGGTTCATATTCACCCATTTTACTCATTTGTGGTTGAATTCCTCTGTGATTTGATGCACACAGCTCTTATCACCATCCCAGGCAGAGGCAGCTGGAGTCCAAGAAGACAAAGCTTAGACCAAGATGGGTGGCTCAGAACAGAGGAGTGTGCCAACAATGCTTGTGTGAATCCTGCATCGTCCTTGCTCTGTGCCAGCTGCCTGGTTTTGCCACGCTTCATGGCAAAGGAATGCGTGCTCAACCTATCATTCTCTCCTGTCCCTTGCTTGCTTGTTTTCTTGGACAGTGGCAAATGTCTGGATTAAGTGGGATTAGTGACTGTGGAAATAATCATTTCGGTGGATGGCTGAGGTGCTTAAATCACTCCTACCCTTAGCATTCATTTGTCACTTTCAGTCAATTCACCTTTAACATTGTACTGTCCCCCCCCAGCTCCTCTTAGCCCAGTAGAATACCCAAATAAATTCACTTTACCACTTGAATGACAAGACCTGCATCACAAAGGACAAAAACATGAGGCCATCACTTTCTTTCAATTTAAAAAGCCCAGCTGTGTCTGATGAACATTTAGGGATTGACTAACTGATGCATACACACAAGTCTCAGATTTTCTGACTTAAACATATTTTAAATGCTCACCATCGGCAGGCACATTTTTCTTCAGATCCTTAATTTCATCATTTGTTAGCTTCCACCCCATATTTTTCAAAATTGTGTCGATTTTATTGACATCAACAGTCCCATCTAGGAAAACCAAGAGGAATTAGTAAAATCTGATGGATTTTTAATTCCAACGCTCCTCATTTTAATTAAGTTTCCAGTTTTAGTGAGACCATTTAGTCTACAAAAAGGTCAAAATAGGCTTAAAAATGGAATATATTTCCTCAGTTTAAACTGTGGTACTATGTTCACAGAACTCCCTTGGAGCAGCATAAAGTCTCATCCATTAAATATTGTCAAGGTGAACTCAAGTCAATGGCTTCCTTTCTTTTCTCTCCTGGAAGTAGGGATTGAACCCAGGGCCTTATTCATGGTAGGAAAGAACTTTACCACTGAATTGTCTACATAATTTCCCCTTTGGTTCACATACTTATACAACTTCCTTTTTCAACAAACAGGAATACAATTAAAAAAATGAAAACAAACCCTCTAATGTAAAGATTCTTTGGTAACAAACATATTTACAAAGGGAGATAAAGATGGCATTATGTAGGTAAGTTGATGGGTCTCTTCATTTTTAATTATGTTCTTTACTTACGACTAAGAGACTTCAAACCATCCATCATTCTGTTCTTGTGGACTTTTTCATCAGCTACAGGAAACATAAATCAGGTCACACACAAATGAATCATAGGGAGTCATGAAGGGCAGCAAAATTCATAATTTAAAGTAAAGAAACTAGTGACTTGTGGGGAGTTGGTTCTCCCCTTGCACCATGTGGGGACTGAACTCAGGTCGTTAGGGTTGGTAGCAAGTGCCTCTACCCTCTGAACTGTCTTGCTAGCTTCCACTTTACGTTTTGGAGACAAGAGCTCTGAGGCTGAAGCTTGCCACTGGCTGGCCAGCAAGCCTTTGGGATCTGTCTGTCCCTACTCTCCCAGTGTTAAAACTATAGCCCAGGCTGCCATGCCATTCTTTTTATGTGAGTGCTAAAGATTCGAACTCAGATCCTCATGCTAACACATTGTCTTAGCTATTTTTCTATTGCTGTGATAAAACACTATGTCCAAGGTAACTTAGAAATCATTTAATTTGGGGCTCACAGTTCCAGAGAGTTGGAGCCCATGACCATCATGGGACGGAGCATGGCCACAGGCAGGCAGGCCTGGTGCTAGAGCACTAAGAGCTCATACCTTGCGTCACAACAATGAGATAGAGCTAATTGGCAATGGTATGAGTTTCTGAAACCTCAAAGCTCACCCCCCTCCCCAGTGACATACGTCCTCCAACAAAGCCACACCCCAGTCCTTCCAAAAGAGTTCTACCAATGGGACCAAGTATTCAAATATGAGCCTATGAGGGCCATTTTCTTTCAAATATAACAGATGACAAGCATTCTCTTCAGCCCATAGATGACATTTTAAAGATGAAGTTAGATTATTCATTTCTTTAAAGTTATTGATAATTTTTATCCTTTACAAGTTTACATACTATATACATTTGGGTATCATATAAAATGATGCTTTTTAAAATTGAGTCTTTTAAAAATAATTTAAAAATTTAAAGTTATTGTATGTGTATGGGTGCTTTGCCAACATGCATGCCTAGTGCCCACAGAGGCCAGAAGAAGGTGTCAGATCCCCTGAAACTAAAGTTACAAATGATTGTGAGTTGCCATTATGGGTGTTGTGTATCAAACTTAGGTCCTCTGGAAGAGTAGCCAGTGCTCTCCAGTCGCCAAATTCACTTATTTTAATTTTATGTGTGTGCATGCTTTGCCTGAATGTATGTATGTATGTATACTTGGTGTCCAAGGTGGTCTGAAGAGAGCATTGGATCCCCTAATGCATGATTGTGAGATGCCATGTGTGTGTCAGGAACCAAAGCCAGGTCCTCTGCAAAACAGAAACAGCTCTTAACCATTGAGCCATTGTTCCAGCCCCTCTCATACCTCTTAACTTTTAAAAATTATTTTCTCTCCTCCTTCATTGTCAGCCTTCTAGTCAGTTATAGGTCTCAAGTGTTTCTTTTCAACAAGTCGCTGTCATCCGTCTATCTCTCTATCTCATCTATCTGTCTATCTATCTATCTATCTATCTATCTATCTATCTATCTATCTATCTGTCTATCTATCTGCTATCCATCCATCAATCCAATTGTCCATTTTTCTATAATTACATTGGCATGAGATAATTCATCTGAATGAAATTTGAAAGTATTTTTGATGCCTTTTAGAAAATGTTTACAGACATTCTCAGAAGCAATAAAAATATAAACTACAACCAATACTATATTGGCATTTTAAAATGCTTACCACTGATGGGGAGCTGCTCCAGCAGGTCTCTGTGTTCGTTGTCTGTGAGAGTTATTCCCATTTTCTTCAGAACCTTTGCCACATCACAGACATCAATGTCTCCTCCTTCAACATCATAGAATCAGGCATATGTTAGTGCAGAGAAAACTCTCCTACCTCCAAACACATGTGGAGGTCTCTTCAGTTACAATAGCCATATGAGTGCACACAAATACTCCAAGTGCTCACAATTCTCATTAATTGGGACAGAAATATAATTTTTCACTCAGTGTAATAATAGACATAAAGATGCAGTTTACAAGAGGTAAATTAGTATATTGTAGGTAAAAAATCTATTAATTTTATCAGAATTCTATTTCTCTTCTAGTTTCCCAGTAAGAGAATTTTTATCTTTATGAAAATCTGCTTATAATATTCTGTGCTAATTTAGATTTTGAAGTCAGTGACTATCATGATAAATATACCACATGAAAAAGAATTTTTCTATCAGATATTGTACTGAAGTAATGCTTAAATGCAAATGTTCTAAACTACAATTGCAGGTACTTCAACAACATGGAAGGAAAGAACAGTAGAAAAGCCAATACAAAATAATAGCACGTATAAATATATAGTTTGGTAAAATTGACTTTAGATGTATAGACACTAACCTGTAATAGATTCTACTGTGTCTAGCACTTTTTCAAGATGAATCTTTCCATCAGCTGCAAGAAAAACCATAATTAGCACAAGAGATTAAAAATTAAGAATTGGCCGGGCGGTGGTGGCGCACGCCTTTGATCCCAGCACTCGGGAGGCAGAGGCAGGCGGATCTTTGTGAGTTCGAGGCCAGCCTGGTCTCCAAAGCGAGTTCCAGGAAAGGCACAAAGCTACACAGAGAAACCCCGTCTCGGAAAAAAAAAAATAAGAATTGAAGCCTATCACAACTTAATCTGAATCAATTAAAATTCATTCAGTGTACAATAAGGACAAGAATCTATTCTATGTTTGGTGGAGGATTGGCAAAGAAGACATTTTCTAAGTTTAATGTTCGCAGAAATGATAGAATAATAGACTAATGATGTTGAATGGGACTCTGGAAACCCATATTTCTAGTGCAGACCCCAAGTTCTTTCCAGGATTTATGCTGAGTCAGTCAAATATTCACCATCTTCTATGTGTGTGTGTGTGTGTGTGTGTGTGTGTGTGTGTGTGTGTGTGTGTGTGTGTGTGTGTATGTGTGTGTGTTGAGAGGGGAAAGACACAGAAAGTTTTTCTATGTGTAGCCCAGGCTAGCCTCAACTTGCAATCTTTCTGCCTTGGCCTCTGAGCTACATATATCCACTACATATATCCACTCACTCTTAGCTACATTTTATCTTTTATTGCTATTTTAACAGATAACTTGGGACAACTGACGATACACGTTATTAACGTTTTGTTACTAATGTATTTATAGTCTGGATAACTGTTTCTACCATCTGTGGGGAAAAGGAAACAGTTAGCACTAGAGTCATGGACACATGGCACTGGTTCACTGCTAAGAAAGACCATAATCTCTGGTGGGAGGGGCTACGAGGTCCAGGCAGTAAGAAGGAGGCAGGAAGCTGAACAATGTATGGAGCAGTTCACCCAGAGTGTGTCCTGGGAAGAACCTACCCAAGGCAACTCTAAGCCCCAGCTTTATTCTATTTTCCTACTAGATCTCATTAGGAAACATGAATTCAATGATAAATTTATGAAGAACTTCAGAATATCAAATGGCAGCCCATTAAATCTGAAACACAACATTCTTCTGAACTTGAGTTTCTATTCACTTTTACTGACCATTCACCAAAAAGCTTGTTCTAAACTCTCATCATAAAAAAAAAACTAAAAAGACTCAATACAAACAAGTTCTTTATTCAAAAGACTCCAAAGGAAGCTTGAATGCATGAAGCCTGTAGATCCTGTTCTTTAGGCCTTCATCAAATTTCTAGACAAACGTTTGAAATATATGATTATGAGTCACAATACTATAGAAAACAGCAGGCAGAGATAAGATGCCCAGTAACTAGAGCTTAAGAAACACCAGGTTGGAATAGGGTGGTGACAGAGAAGCTGAGGCCTTCAAGAGAAGGGAGGGATCCTGAAACTTCCACTCTTTAGGTTAGCCACCCTACTGCAGAATTTAAGATGTGCCTAGGAGGCAGCTCGTGACAGACTTCTTCAGCAATCAGCAATTCTTAGCTGGTGAGGCTGGGGAGATGAGCCAGTCAATAAGGCTGCACAAGCATGAGGCCCTGAGTTCAGATTCTCAACACCCATGGAAGAAGACACGTATGCTGCATGAGCCTGTAGTCCTAGAACTGAGAAGAAAGAGACAAGAAGATCCCTGGAGCCTGTCTAGCCAGCCTAGCCCTAATCAGTAAGCTCTAGGCCAGCGAGAACCTGCATCTTATAAGGTGGCAAGGTGATTAAGGAAGACATCTGACATCAACCGTTGGCCTGCACACACACACACACACACACACACACACACACACACACACACACACACACACACACACACACCCCACTTGTTAATTTGGAATAAAACAGCCGCACAGTGGTTTTGGGCTTGTTACATGGGAACATAGTTTTCTTTCTCAAGGAAGGTAATTGAGAACATGGTCCTAACTAACTTGTACTAATTAGATTTAGTTATAGTCATGTAATTTTTCTATAGATGTGTTGGTTGCCCTGAAATCATAGGATGTGCACATGGTTTAGGCAATTATAAATTAATCTCTATTCTTTTCACTCAGAAACAGCAATTTAATTTGTTTTCACTCTATTTAGCCAGTTCACTTTCATTCATTTGTCAAGTATTTTTGGCTTACTCTGTCTCCCTATCTTCATTTCATCCTGTACCAGAGAGAATAACTCTAGTGTATTTCAACATGATACATTTTTTAATTTCAATTGTTTTAAAATAAAAAAGTTTACTCTTTTGTAAAAATAAAACAAATAGGCAGCCATTAGTCCATGGTTGTTTCTGAACTCAGAATCCTTATACAAGTAAGCTGAAACTTAAAGTCATTCCATTTAACTGATAGATTTGGGAAGAAAAAAATCTAAAGAAAAATAAAACTTAACCTGGTTATAAACAACAACCAGCCATTAATCATGGGGACCACACCAAAACCAGGTGATCAGTTTCTACAGCTAGACTGTAAATGCCTACATGGCTATCCATGACTATTTTCTCTGAACTGGAAAGGCTGAGGCAGGAAGGTGGCAAGTTCAAGGCTTTGCTGGGCTACATAGTACAACTTCAGCTCACAAAAAAGAAAACCATCTGCTGCTCACATTGCTGAAATAGCTTTCTGAACTCTCTGA